TATCTACTAAGTACCTCATGCCTCTTCTCAACATTGAGATTCTTGCTCTGTTTTAAAAGGCAGTATCGCTCAGCAGTCAATGAACAACAAAGTTAGTGTGCTTCCTTTCTTATGTTCTAAGTGTTGCTGAATGTATGTTTGAAGACAGGAGGAATTAAAGAACGTGATGAACACACATCACAGTTCTTAAAACGCAACATTAATTTGGGGATTTCTTTTCTTTTAGCAACTGGGAAAACATCAGTTAACTATTCAGCTCTTACCATAAAGCTGGGCAGTGATGGGGAACCAGCCAAATAAGAAAAATAGAACAGGGGCTGGGGATTTAGCTCAGCGGCAAAAGCGCCTGCCTGGCATGCGCAAGGTTGTGAGTTCAGTTCCCGGTACCGGAGAAAAAACAAACAAAAAAAAATAGAACAACTGAGAGAGGGAAGAAAATTGCTGGCTAGTTCCACCCAAGGCCAGAGTTCTTTCTGACTCTTGATCATGCTTGGACAGATTGTTCATTTTAGAATAGCTGGCTATAGTTCTAGTAATTTATATTTAAAAAAAAAAAAACAATTATGTGAAAGAAACATTTTTTTACATGCTAAATAGATTTAGAAAGCTAATGATGACTCATTTTTTTTAGACTGGATATTACATATTCACAAAGATGATTTAACTTTTCTTATAACTCTTTCCTGCTGTTTCTTAATTAATGTTGCTATGAATTGCTGTGAATTGTTCCAGCACTGTATAACATAGTTATTAGAAACACAATTGGTAGGGCCAACTTTATCACTTACAAGGGTTTCCCTAAACTACCAAAAATAATAAAACAAGCTGAGGGAGCTATGAAGAAAAAGTGTTCTATCTTTTCCTTTTAAGCTTTAACCTGTAATTCTTTGAGACATAAAACACTGATTTTAGCCTCCAAACCAAAAGGCTGAAGTTCTAAAAAGAATCAGGAACTTTCATTTTGGAAATTTTTTTTCAATAGTGCTTACATCTTGTGAAGTTAAAGAAGGAATTTTTCAATTAGGAATTTTTAAGAAGTTGCCAAATCTAAAACAAATGAAGCCGCAGCATGCAAGATGGCTGAACTTGAAGTACATGGTTTTACAAAGAAAAAGGATATACATGTACATAAATTTTGATAACATTTTAGTTATTCAGGGTGTACTTGGCTATCAAATTTTATTAAAACCTCATCAAGAAGGAAATCTCAAATCACTCATTATGCTCCACAATTATTGTAAACTGAACAATTTAAATGAGAGGAGGAGATAATGACATTAACTTCTTAACTCACAGCAATCCTTTGTGGCATGACTTTAAAATATTCTGCTCTGAAATTTATGTAAATTGAATTCATCTATCATTAGTTATTACTAGTGGAGCTACATTAAAAAAACAGTTTTCTGTAACAATTAGTTCTTAAAAACATTGTGTTTTAATTAGATCTGGGACATTATTAAAGTAGCTATAAATATGTACAGTACTTTATTTGGTATACCCAGATGCCTGAAAATCAACACAGGTGCCCTCAGAGCTCTTTCTCTAAAAATTCTTCTAATGAAAGCCTTTCACTCAAATTTTTAAGGTAATCTAAAATAAATATCCTTTTCATATTCTATTATGCATATACAGAAAGAATGATCACTGATAACCCAGAATAATCATTGGAACAGTGTATTTTGTAACACGAAAAGCTTAGTCAGAAGTAACCAATTGCTTAATTTTAGGAATGTCCATAGTTATATACATCACAAACTCATAATAGAGCTTGGACCAATACATAGTTTAAATTTTAGCTCAAAACTTTTTCTCTCATATCATCCATGTATTATATATATATATATATATATATATATATATATATATATATTACATTCAATCCTTACCACATCTTTATAGGTTATATATTATTATTGCTTCATTTTTATTTGTTTATTTTTGTGGCACTAGAAATTGAACCTAGGTCCTTCACACTGAGTTATAGGCTCAGCCCTTTTTTAATTGTTTATTTTGAGACAGATCTTGTTAAATCACTAAACTGCCCAGGCTGGGCTCAGACTTGCAATTCTCCAACCTCTGCCTCCCAGAGTGCTAGAATTGTTAAGTAGGCATGGGTGACCACGCTCAGCTACTCTATTTTATATACAGGGAAGTTTATCTGGTTAAGACAGTATTGAGTCAAGCTAGGACTGAAGCCCACAGACTGACTTCAGAAATCACAGTAGTAATCATAATTGTAAACTTCAAGGACAGGTGATTAATTTCCATTTATAAAGAAAATTCCCAAATAACCGTAATACTGCCCTACAAGAATAATAACACTAAACTTGAATGTTTGTAATGCAGAATACCCCTTCTGTAAAATCAGTCCTCTTCTTAATCCCACTGTAAGCATAAATTGAAGCTTTCTCCTATCACTCAAATGAGATTAACATTTCTTCAAATCCTTGAAGACTGTTGTGCATTCCTTGTATGTGAAAATGCTAGCTGCCTCTTTTCTTTTCCCTTAGTAACAGAAATCTAACTTTTAGCTCTTGCCAAACTGACAAATTTCCTAACATTTTCAGTGGCTAAGTATGATCACCTAAGTTCTGCAGTAACATATGATTAGTACAAGTAAGGTGCTAGAATCTAGGAATGCTACTTAAAGGAAGCAGCCTTAGTTGTTAGGGAGCTCTTCTGTCCTTTCCTATTACTTTACCTTACTATTCAGCAGTTTTGGCTGGAACTCTAGCAACTATCTTGGACCATGAGGCAACCTGGGGAAGGAAGCTGCCTGCTGGAGGTGGAAGAGGACCAAGATAAGAGTCTCGACCAAGAGAGATCAAGAAGCCGCTAGACAATGTCAGACAGCCTCCCGTCAGAGCTTATGTAACAGAGAAATAAACCTTTATTGTGTGGAAGACATGGTTATTTGTAGATTTTCATTTTTCCTGTGAAAGAAGCTGAACCAAATTTGGATAGAATTCAAATCCATGCATATTTTATCACCCGAGGTTTATTTTGATTGTGTTGAAAGGAAGAAAAATTTAAACAGAATCATTTCTATTATAACACTGGGGTAAATCCTGTCTGATATTTTTCAGCTCTGGGAAAGAACAAAGAGGAAAAGACATGGGAGGGGAAAGTGTAAAATAAGATACTTGTGCCTCCCTGCCATTGGTAATCCATCTCCTCTTCTACTGGTACTGAGTTCTATGTATGCCTACTTCTAGGCTCAGCTCAGAAAAATTTCCTCTGCTAGGCCTTTCAATTCAGAGTGCCAACTGCCTCTGCCATTTACTTGACAATCATATATCTCTAGTCATATCTTTTGTTCGGCTTGTAACTTGTACACTGTATTTCTTTCGCTATGTGTCACCTCCACAACCTAGTGGGACCTACCTCGTATTTCTCTGCACCCTTCACAGCTACTGGCAAACTACCTCAGTGCAGCAGGAGATCAATAAATACTTTTGATTGATTAACTGAATTAAAGTAAGAAAAACGGTGAGGGAAAGCAAGAGAACAGAAGACTAAGAAGTGAGAATGCGCAACTTAGAGGCGGAGTAAAGACCTCTAGACCAATTTGTTCTTCACTGGGCCTGGCAGAGAAATATCACAATAGGTTCAGTCAGTGCGGAGCTCAAACTGCACTCCAGCTCAAACTGCACTTCCAGGGAGCTTGTTCCTGCTTGGGAAGATGGTACCATTTGCTTCATTCCAACAAATGCCTCAATTTTTCTTCCTTAATTACCAGCGACATTTTTAAGGTATGAGACCCAACTCAAGAAGATTTATTTGTACCAGATGTAAATGATTTCAAACCATATAATACAACTGGCTTCCAGCAAGATCCTATTTTACAGATATTATTCTGTTAAATAATTGTGACAGCATAGAAATTAATACTTGAAGACACCAGATACTGACTTCATAAAATATTAGAGTCTAAACTAAGTAGTCTGAGAGATCATTTTTGTTAAACCAACTTTATTATTTTACTTCTAAAACCCAAGAGCAACACAGCATCACACAAAAAAATCACTACTTCTCTAAAAGTAGATAGACTCCAAGCACATATTTTGTGGAAGCTACATCATTAAAAGTAAGACAAGGCTATCGATATTAAAAGCTGTGTAATGCCATGTGAAATTAACATTATATAACAATGGGATTAGAAGCCTTAACTACATTAAACTACATACAATACAGTAACAAGTGACACAAAGCATTTTAAAACATGCAGTTGATAATTTATCTAGATTCATGAACCATTTTATATTCCAACAATTTTATTTTCAATTATTTGTTAGTCATTATACTATGTATTTGTTAATGTGATATGCACCTAAAATATAATATTCTAATCTATCTTCATGAATTTAGCAGGATATGACAATATTAAATCAATAGAAAATTTTGTTTCTTTCTTCTTTTTAACATCCTTATAATTATATTGGCTCTAAACTACCTTTGAATATTTGTCACAGCTCAAAATTCTAAACATACTACATTTCTTGAGAATTACTCATTAATTATACCCTCATGTCAAAATTTTCTACACAGAGATTTCTCAGAAGTCTCTAAGACAGTAGCTTCTTTGACAGTGAAATGTACAAAATAAATCACATGTCAACAAGTAAATTAGCATTCCCTTTCTGACCAGCTGGGTCATATTTCCTTTACAACATCCACAGTCCCATGATACAAAATAATAATAATCTAAAAGACCTCATTAAATGATCAATATATTGACATAATCTCTGTAAGGAGACATACAGTGTTTTAATTGATTCCTGAATCCATTAAATGGAATATTAACCCCAAATCTTATATTTGAAGAAAACACTTACTTTAGTCACTAACTAATTTTCTTTAGGGTGCTCATAATGGCACATGAAAAGATTTGCAAGTTTTTGTATTTAACCAAAGATAAAAGAAATCCAACTTTCACTAAATATTTCATACAAACAATACAGTAAAAGTTAGAATAGATAAGTTAAACCATGTTTACTTACCAAAAAACTTCCAAAGGCTGAATTAAATATCGCAGCTGCCTACAGAGAAAATAAATGAGGGGAAAAACTCACTGAAAGTAAATAGGAATTGGAAAAACAAAGATTATCATTCTCCCTTCCCCCACTATTCAAAACCTTAAAACACTGACCCTTAGAGCTATGTTACTCACTGCTTACAAAAATTGCCAGTGGCCTGTAGTTTACTAAAATAGATAAGCTACAGCTTAGGAATTCATAAATAATAGGTCTCAAAAGCAGGTAAAAAAGGTTTGCTATGAGAAGCTTTGAACCTCTATGACAGCACCAAAAGAATCATCACCAATAGTAAATCAAAACCTTGTTGTTATTGATTTTGCTGCTAGGCTTAGAACAATCAGAGGTTGATTTATTCATCAAAATTTCATATTACGTCAAGAAGGAACAAGAATTTTAAAGAAAACATTAATTGGTCCCTATCAGCAAGCAAGTGCTATATCTTATAACCACAAGGTGAGATATGTTGCTCCCTTACAATACACTTTAGAAATCTGAACGATGCAGTTAAGACCAAGAGAGCTATTGCTAATGCCATTACCTCTAAGGTAGTAACAAGCAAGAACAACTTCAATTTAGTGCTCAAAATTCAAAGAAGAAATACTTGATTTTGTGCTTACCTAAACATCCGCGAAAAGCACAGTAGATGTAAGATAGCTCTTAACTTTAAATTAGCACTATATTCCATGAAGCTACACCACAGTCCTGAAAGCTTCTCACATTCCCCCCAAAAGGAGAAAAACTTGTATCACATCCAGTTTGATGAAAGAAAAGAAGAGACATGGAAAAATTAGGAAAAGGCAAAAGGAGGGGGTAGAGAAAACCTGTTTACATCTCCAGCAGATTCAGAGCAGAATTAAATTAATCATCATGGACATTAGCAACCACCGTGTGGTAAAAAGAGGATGTCAGTGAGTAAGTTTGAATAAAGTCCAAAGCCAGACTAGGAGCTGTAGCTGAAAATGCCTTTTGCTCCAGAAGAGGAGGCAATAAGAGTGAATGGGTAATGAGAGCCCTGGCTCCAGAGAGCTAAGCTCTCCTATTCCAGTTCATAATTAATTCAAAGCTTTGATAATTTCATTAGATTTCTCCTTTGCTGGCCCTATCAATAAAAGATGGCACTGGACCACAGCTCCTCTGTGGCATAAACAGAGGCATAGCACAGACCAGGGAAACCTTTACTTCCTGGTGGGGACAATGGCATATGGTGTTCTGTGTTGTACTGGAAGCAGTGGAAAATTTAAAAAAAAAAAGATTCAACTAAATAAAACATTACAGATGACAACTGTAAACCACAGAAACACACTTAACACATCTTCCTGAAATCCCATTATGGATGATTCCAGGAAAGTTTTATGTACAGTGAAAAATAAAAGGATACAAATGAGTGAGTTTTGGCGAGAGCAACATGAAACACTGTATTCCTACAAAATACACTCCCACCCCACCGAACAATCTTCCTATCTAGACCCTAGATTGTGCTTAAAATGGATTTCTTTCTCTCTTTTAGTAAAAGAATATGGTCTTTTCCTTTGAGCTCTTCTCTTCCAATTTCATTTCCTTCTAGTGCTTTTCACCAACCTTTTATTAAATAACTAATAGGTTTGTGTGGCATTCAAAGAAACACAGATTCTCAGAAGAGACTAGAAAGTCAGAGAAGAATAACTACTAAGTACTACTTGTAAGGTCGAATCACCATATCCCTGTTCTGTTCTCCTCTGTAACCTAGACACAAGTAGCATGTTTTATATAAGTTGGATATGGCAGTACCAATGATGGCCAATCTTAGGTACCCAAAGATGCTAAACCAATTCCCCTTCCCTCCCTGCCCCTCCTCTCCTTTTTTCTCTGTGCTGGGGATTGAACCAGTGACCTTCACACTGTCTACATCCCAGACCCTTTTTATTTTTTTAAGGCCATACCTCATTAAGTTACTAAAGTACTCAGGTTGCACTTGAACTTGTGATTATCCTACCTCAGCATCCATGCCTGGCTGGCATGGATGTTTTCTGACAGCACTGATTGATTTGAACTTTCCACATGTTAAATTCTGGCAAGTTTTTATGAAATGGTTGGTTATGGTTCTGAGTACTATAAATTCGACATTGAATCAAGGATCTTGGGCTCAATGGCAGCAGAGTGAGTGCTAAGTTAACAGTTGGCTGAAAAGTTGGATCAATTCTCTCAGTAGTTACAGCAAAGGGCAATGGTAAATATTTAGAGTATTTCATTGTTATATAAAAGACAAGCATGTCTTCTGACTTAATATGATGTACAAGTGCCTCTACCAACAGGTTTCCCAAATTCTCTGCCTCAAATTTTATGTTCTGACAACACTACTTACAATTCCCCCATGTTCATTATGCCATCTCTTACCTCGTTGCTTTCTGGCCAGAAACCCCCTTTCTCCTCCTCTACCTAAGTAACTCTCACTTAGCAACTCAGCATGGGCATTGTCCCTCTAAGAAGTTTTCAATCACTTGCCTGGCCTCACACCCTAGCATACACACACACACACACACACACACACACACACACACACAGTGTCCCCCCATGCCTGCTGTTGCTAGAATATCCAGTGCTTGTCTCTGCCATGGCACTTTTCACACTGTATGGAAAAGACTTCCCTACCTCACTGCAGTGAAGAGTCTTCTAAGGAAGGAACTGAATAAAGCTTATCCTGAGCACAGACATGTGTTCTAACTGAGTTACTAAAATCAGTAGGATTACCTGAAGTGTCACAAGGTCTGCCTCTCCTCTAAGCTATTACATGTTTGGTAGAATCCAAGGACTGGCTGGCACAGGACACTAGATGGTACAATTAGTAACAAACCGAATGCAATGAGAGGAAATCTACACTTCAGTCGCCCAGCCAATCTAATAACCTTTTTCGCAACATCCTGCTTTACTTCCTTCAAAATGCCAAAAATTTTCCCTTATAATATAGTTACATAAATATGTTTAGCATAATGTTTGGAACTTAGCACTGCAATACAGCAATTGAGTTCCTTAAGTAAAGTCTAGAATTTCACAGAACATTCTACAACCATGAGAAGAGGATAATGTGCGTACACTGATATGAATGGCAGGTAAGCTACCTTAAGGGAAAGGGGCAAGTTTTACCAAGCATGGCGGCACACGCCTGTAATCCCAGTACCTGGGAGGCTGAGGCTTGAGACTGCAAGTTGAAGGCCGGCCTGGACAACTCAGCGACTTAGTGGGACCATGCTTCAAAATAAAGGAAGGATGCGCACATCCTATTTTCTGAAAGTGATCACCAAAAACATTCTTAACTATGGTTAAATCATGGAAAGATGTTGGGTGGGGTTATTTTTATGTTTGATTTTGTTCTGTTTCTCTTGTTTGACTTTTTAATTATCGTGTTATCTTTTTATACTTCAACAAGGATTATCAGGGCACAAAAAAGGTTGAGCTTTTTTTTTCTTTATGAACCCCTTTGTATTAAAGGTAATTTTTAAAGATAACATTAAGATATCAATTCCAACTTTTCACACTCCTGATGTCTCTTGTTTGTTTTCACAACACGGAGGGTAAGCACCTTTTGAGCACTGTCCAGGAAGCAGGCATTTTCTGGGAGCATTCATAGCGAGGAGAATATTTGGCTTTGAAAACAAATAAAACTTCTAGTATTGTTTCTGTATTAAACAAACATGGCTACAGAGAAAATAAACTTCATAAACTGTGCTCAAACTTGAGCCATTAAGATAATTTGTTCTGAAAGTAGTACCCTTTGGGTTATAAAGCCAGATTCTCTTTGGATATGAAGTTTTCTCTTTTCTGTTTTCTGGAAGCCATATCTGAAGAGTCTCATGATTCTTAAATATTCACTGCATTTGCTACTGCTATAGCCACACAAGACCCATAGGTCAAGGCTTGGTCCCCCACCTGTGCCTCTACTGCAAGGTGGTAGAACCATTTGGATGTGGGATATTGGAACCCAGGCATTCTCTCTCTCTGTCTCTCTCTCTCTCTCAATCTCTGTCTCTCTCTGAACATCTTTCTTGGCCACGTGTTCCCACCATGAGGCACTGCAGTGCCATAAGCCCAAATCAAACAGGGACAAGCAAACATGAACTGAGACATCTGAAACCATGAAAACAAACAGAACCTCTCCTCTTCTTAAGCTGCTTTTCTAACATATTTTGTCAAGTTACACAAAGCTGACTAACATAGTAATTATCTCCTTTGCTAGAAACAATGTAAAACCCATTCAACTTCTAGCATGTTGTATTATAATAAAAGTATTTTCTAATTTGTTCAAGGTTGTGTCCTTAGTACCTCTAACAGCACCTGGCTCATAGTATACTTCCTATAAATGTTACTGGAGCAAAGAATGGATGAATGAATGAATGCACGAACACTTCTGGTACGACCTGAATGTCCTACCCAACAATGTCTTCACTATTAAGTCATGAACCCCATCTACAAAGTATGTCTATTATATTTAATATACTTGATAATTAGATCAATGCTAACTTAAAATTTTTATATTATGGTAGTTCTTTAATAGTGAGAAGATTGCTTCCATTATATTGCACATTTTTAGAGAATGTATTACTTTCAGTATCAACCCAGTTTTATCCAGTATAAGGTATTTTACTAATGCTTTGTTAGATATTGCATAATATGTCTTTAATAAATTACTTGGGAAAACTGAGCAAGTTCAATAGTAAATTAGTTTCTTCATAACCTCCTTGTAATTATTTAAAATAAAAAGGTAAACTTTTTAAAAACCTGAAAACAGTGGGGATGGAGAGTTTTCTAACTCAGAAAAGCAATCATTTCCATGGCCGAGTGGCACTGAACATTATGAAGTTCTACCTTACAGTAAGCCTGACAGCTGGGACTTCCTGTAAATGCTGCACCTGACCATGTTCTACACTCCACAGTAAGGTGAGTATCCTAATCCCGTTTAAAGTATATTTCAAATATTTATAAGACTAGTGCTTCACCTATCAAGTCATATAAAATTATATCTAACATTT